GGGCTCTGTGACGCCCCCGGTGGAGCCCCCTCAGGACTCAGCTCCCCCCCCACGGACCCTGCGGAGCCTCCCGAGACCTACCCGTGCAGGCAGCAGATCCGGCTCGGCGGCAAGGCAGATGGGTGCCCCCACGGCCAGGGTGAGCGTAGCCTGGCCGGAGAGTCCCCCGGACAGAGGCTCGCCGACGCAGACGCGAACAGCGGAGTGAGGTGGTTCAGTTCCCCCACAGGCCAGCTGGCCTCGGCCATTCAGGATCGGCGGATTGGTAGGACGCCCAACATGCCCCCAACGGGAGCCGTCTGGTTTTGCCCCCCCTTCCTGGTGATGCGGCTGTCAGCCGCGTCCCCCCTACTCGGGACCGCTCGCCTCACCCGCCGCGGAGCACGAGTTGGCCAGATCGGACGGCTCTCCCCCGAACGGGCGGGCGGGCTCCGGTCGCGAGATCGATCGATCCGGAATTTCTGTCCCAACCAACCATGCGGCTGTCAGTTGCTTTCTAGTCGGGCCTAGATCTTTCTCTGATGGGACCGCACGCCTCGCCTGCCGCGGAGCCAGTGTTGGCCGGATCGGACGGCTCTCACCCGTGCGGGCGGGCGGGCTCCGGTCCCGAGGTCGATCGATCAGGCCTTTCTGCACCAACCCACCTTGCGGCTGTGAGCTGCTTTTCTAGTCGAGCCTCGATCGGATCGCCCCCCAGAAGAAGTGTCTCCCAGCGGCGTGGCTGGCCGCCACCAGACTGGAGACCAGGTTGGCGGCCCAATCCCCCCATGGCCAGCAAGAGCGGGCCACTCTGAAGCGGCGGAAGAAGAGGATGTCCAGCACCCCCCCAGTGGGAGCCGCCTGGTCGCGCCATCCCTTCTTGGCACTGTGGCTGTCAGCCACCACCCTACGCAGGCGGCCTCATTGGGTGCCGGGACTCGTGAGAGCGCTGTAGCGGGAGGACCGAACTGGCAGGGTTGCCTACCCCCCTCTGTCTCAATCGATTGTGCTGCTGTCAGCTGCCAGCCGCGAGGCGAGGCAGCCCTGCCAGACTCGGAGCCTGCCGCCCGCGCCCCCCCCCAGGCCTAAGTGCAGCCCCCGGTGGAGCCCTCCCCCCCCTGGACCCTGCGGAGCCTCCGCAGACCTACCCGCGCAGGCAGCAGAACCGGCTCGGCGGCAAGGACGACGGGTGCCCCCGCGGACCAGGGTGAGCGTAGCCTGGCCGGGGACTCCCCCAGACAGAGGCTCGCAGACACGGGCGCGAACAGCGGAGCGAGGCCACAGGCTTCCCGGGGCGCAGGGGGCGGAGTGCGGCCGCACCCCCCCTGGAGAGCAACAGACAGGAGCGGGTGGCGCCCCTCGCTCTCGGGAAGGAGCAACAGCCTCACCCAGTGCGCGTGGGAACGACATCACCCCCACGGTGCCTCTGTCCCACCCAACCTGGGCTAGGATGGCCAACGACACGACTCCCACCGCGGGAGGGGTCGACTCCCACCGCGGGAGGGGTCGACGTCAGCGGCCCTGGTCGTACCAGGTCCCGCAGCCTGACCGCCGTGCGACGACGAAGTGCCCCCCTACGCAGCAACTCGCCTGTGCGACCCCAGTGCCTCCTTCACACGGGCGAGGAGTGGGAGCTCGTGGACCTCGGGGCGGGCGCTCCCTCCCCCCACGAATGAGGAAGGAAGAGCGGCCCGCCCGCCAGATCTCCCCCAGGCCCAGGCGGCCCCCCTGTCGGGCACCCTAGGGGGGTCCCCGTCGCCACGGCCTCCGTATACGCTCACGTGGGTCAGCGGGCGCCCCCCCCAGGCTCCTCTCGGCGATGGTGGGCAACCCCCTTCAAGCTCGGGCGAAGACGGCCCCAGCCGCCTGGGCGCAAGCGGAAGAGGAGACCCCCCCCCGCGAGATGACCCTCGGACGACCGCGGGGGCGGCACCAAAACCCCCCAGCGTCGGCCGTCCCAGCCCTCCTCCTCTGCACCTACGCTGCCTTTACGACGCTCCATTCTGCGGTGTCAGTCGTGTTCCCTGGCCTCCGTCCCCCACGTTTACGACGCTCCACTCTGCGGCTGTCAGCCGCTGCCCCCCCGCCCGCCCCCCGCGCGCCCCCTGGCCTCCGTCCCCCACGCCCGTCCCCCCGTTTGTTCCGCCTCCCGCCGCGGGCCTCGCCTCGCCGCCCCCGGCCCTCTGCTGCCGCCGGCCCCCCCTCGGTCTTCGACGACCCCGCGTGGCGTCGCAGCCAGCGCTGGCGGCCCCGCTCTGGCGCGCGTGGCCTTTGGGTTCCCTCTGCCCCCCGCGCCGTCGCCCCTGCCCGGCCGGGTGCCCGCTTCTTCCCTGTTCGGATCCGCTGGCCGCTTCGGGAAGGCCGCTCGCCCCTTCCCTCCTGGCCACTCGGGCCCGCCCTCTGCTTGTGGGCACCGCCCCCGCCCGTTCGGGGTCGACGGACACATTGTCTTCCCCCGCGCCGGCCTGGGTCTCTCCGACCTCCGCCCGCCTCCTGGTCCCCGTCCCCCTCGGTTACGACGCTCCTCTCTGCGGCTGTCTGCTGCTTTCCCCCCGCCCGCCCCCCGCCCGCCTCCTGGCCCCCGTCCCCCACGCCCGCCCCCCGCGTCTTTCCCTGGCGATCCGGTTCTTCCGTCGAGCGTCTGCATGGTTGCCCTCCTCGACTACGCGGTCGTGGTCTTTGTCTTCCTCGTGGCCGTGGACGTGGCCTTCGAGGAATTGGGCATGAATTGCTTCGCCATTTTGGCGCTGCACGTGGACCATTACCTTCCTGGTCTTCGACGGCTTCAGCGCCTTCGACCTATCCTTCAGCGTCTTTCTCGCCCCCTGAGCCGCAGCGTAGTTCGCTCCTGCGTGCTCAGCGCCTCATTTAGAGCATGGCGCGGCTGCCTCGTTTCTGTTCGGCGCGCGGTCGGACCGCCCGCGCCGATGGCGGCAATCGCCGGCAGAGTGCGGCAATCAGGCCCCGCGCGTGATCCGCGCAGACGTGGTCCCTGGCGATCCCCTTCGAATTCAGATCGGCCGGGCGCTTCGCGGAGTTCACGACGAAGAGCTTGCGGCACGCGGGGGTCTTGAGAGAGCACCAGCGGACCCGAAGGCGCTCGACTAATTGTTGCGTAGCCTTACGGAAGCGGCGCACGCGGGTGCCCGCTACCGAATCTCCCTATCAGGGTCAATCCGCGAGGTCCGACCGCCCGCTAGGCTCGCTCGCCAGACCCGCCCGCCGGGCTTGCCCGCTCGCACGGCCCTTTCCCTTCGGATTTAGAGTCAGCTCGGCCAACGCGCCAGCCACCTTTCCTAGGAAATTCTGGTGCCCCACCTGGAGGTTTTTCGCTTCGGCTTCTTCGGCGCCGCAGTCATGCGGGATTGTCCGCGCCCAGTGCACGCGGGCCCGCGGAAAGTTTTAGACGCTTCGCGCAACCCTGGCCAGTTTCGCCACCCTGGCAACCACCGCCATGCTTGCATGCACGCTTTGTGTGCGCTTTGCCCTGGCCCTGGCCTCTCTCAGCGCAGCTGCACTTCAATTAAGCAGACTTGCATTCGGCAGTGTGGATCTGTGCTTGGTCCAATGCAGCCGCAGCCTGAGCAGCCGTGGTAGGTAGTTAGTTCGGCCCTCGGCCGGTAGCCCGCGCCCGCCGCTTGCTTTCGCTGTAAATTAGTAGGTACCGCAACCCGGACTTATTTGGACGGCGCCTGCGCTCTTGCTTGCGCCCGCGACCCCCCCCCAAAAAAAACAACCCTGGCCAGCCCACCCAAAAGGCAATGTCCAAGCGAGTTGCCCTGATCAGGGATGCGGAGGAGCACGCGTTGGAATAAAGGGCTGGGTAACACGCCATACCGCAAGAGGGGGAGGATGGAGGAGGAATCGGAGGAGCAGGGCGAGGAGTAGAGAGAGGCACAATCCTCCGACTTGTTCCCTCACGCCGGTAATGAGGAGGCACGACGAAGATGACCCAAAAAGCGGGAGGGGAGAAGTCATGCTTCTTCTTCTTCTCCCATCATTCCTCCTCCCCGCCTCGCGACTTGATTTGCAGCGTCGGCCCCCACAGGTCAGGAGCCCTTTGGATTTCCATCCCGGGCCATTGTTTCATGGCCCCGAGGCTTGGAAAGGGCCCCGAGGCCCGGCGAGGGCATTCCTCCTTCGTTTCCTCCTCCTCCTCCTCTGCCTCCGCCTCCGCCTTCTCCTCTCCGCCGCCTCCTCCTCTTCTCTCTTTTCCTCCTCTGCCTCCTCCTCTCCCTCCTCCTCCTCCTCCAGGCGGGGGGCGAGGCCGAGGCGATGGGTGGCGACGGCGACCTCCTGCCCGGGCTCACGTTCCAGGAGTTCGCGACGGTCTGGCGGCTGGAGCTCGAGGAGGGACAGTGTGGGGCCGGCGGGTGGGCGGAGGAGGATGAGGAGGAGGAGGAGGAGGAAAAGGAAGGATGAGGAGGAGGAGGAGGAAGAGAGGAAGGACGAGGTGAAGGAGGAGGAGGGCCACTGTAAACCCAAGAGTCGCCAACGATGTTGCAATGAACTCTCCTTCCACGTTCCATCGCCATAGGTCCCTACAACGATTTGTTTTCACTGCTAGAAATGCCCCGCTAGAATACAACATCATGAACATTCCTTCCATGCGGAAGCACCATGATTTGGATTTCAGTGCCGCGAATCAACGTTGCCACTGCGTCCTGACGGCCCAGAATCAGTATTCTTGGGACTACAACGCCGCAAATTAACGTGACGTTTACGTCCTGACAATCCAAAACCTTGCCAGCACATTATCTCTGGGACGTCAACCTCAAGAATCCTCGAAACTGCTGTACGTAAAGAAGAATGCACGCGGCGCGAAGGCGAGAGCCACATTTTCAAAACCACCCACCATCCATCCGTGAAGCTGTTGCAAACGTCAAGCATCGCGATCATAAATGGTGAGGAAGTCTCCGGCGAAACGCCCAGCCCGCCCTACCGACCCGTCTCGGGGTGCGCAGGGGCGAGTTATCTATACGGAAGAGGGATGGAGGAGGGGAAGGAGTGAGGAGGAGGGAGGGGGAGGAGGAGAGGAGGAGCAGAAGGAGGGGAAAGACAGGAGGGATGGGGGAGGGTGAGGAAGGACAAATAAGGGGCGGTGAGGTGGAGGAGGAGGAGGAAGAGGAGTAGGAGCAGCAGCAGCAGCAGCACAAGTAGGAGAGAGGAAGGAGGGAGGGAGGGAGAGAGGGAGAGGGAGAGGAGGAGGAATCCCGCCCCCATCGGGCGAGGAGGGAAAGTACTGGGCGGTGGAGCACGACCTGGGCAGGCTGTGCGGGAGCGGCATGCGACAGCCGGGCGACCTCTCGTACCAGGTTGCTTGCGGCAGAAGCGACAGTGTACCTCACGCAGTGGCGAAGCGTCCTGGCTCGCCGACAGGCCCACCAAGTAAAGGCCTGAGGACCTTGTATGCTCTGCACGACATGTTCTTTGAACATTTCTGGCTGGGGCTGTCTTGTTTTAACACATCGGGCTTCTGTTCTAAGAACACGGCTTTGTCATTCGAACATGCATGGGTTCTGAGAACATGTCGTGGTAGGCCTGTAGGGATGCCGGGGCGGCCGGTCCCTGCTCAAGTACCACCCTAACCCGTCCTCGTTCCTCCAGAGGCCGCAGCCAGATCAGCCGAGTCCCACAGCCCAGCAGAAAGGCTGCCGGAATCGTGCCCGCCGTTTCGGGCCGAAGCGGCCCCTCGGGATGGCAAGTCGGCACCCCGGGAGCGGCCGAGAGTTCCGGGCGCCGCGGGGGAAGCTCTCATGGCACACGGAGGGGCGGGCCCCTGGGGATGCTGCCCCCGCTGCGCCCAGCGGTGCGCAGGACCAGCCAGCCTGGGGCTCGTGGCCACCCTGAGATCTGAGACGCGGCAGGCGCATACGACGAGAAGTCTTGCCATCAGCAGGCGTGGGGCGCATGCGTCGTCGATCCCTGAGGGTCCCAGGGTGCCCCGGGGCCTCTGTGGGTCCCTGGCGCAATCGTGGGATAGCAGGGCTCGTGCCGATTCCTCCGATTCGATTCCGGATCTGCTTCCGGTTCCAATTCGAGATGTGGGACTCCGATTTGGACTTCGGTCTTGGAGGCCTTGCTAACCTGCGGATTGTCACCGCTTCGACTTCTCCCGACTCGGCTGCCGAGTTTCGCCGATCGTGTCGATCACCGATCCGACTCGTCGCTTCGATGCTGGGCCCTCCTGGACAAGACCTTTTCCGCGGGACCCCTGCTGGCAGACAGATCTGCTCGTTGCTGTGCCCGCCGTGCGGCCGCTCTCCCTGGTGCGCGCTCCGCCAGCTCCTGCGCCCGAATGTTCCTCAGGAGTGGAGAAACACACAGACACAAGGGATCGTCGACTTCAGGAAAATATGGGAAAATATAGGAAGTGAAGGGGGAAGACAAAACCCCAGAACAGATGGGAAACTATGAGAAATCCTTGAATTTGTGTCTATTTATGTGTGTGTGTGTGTGTATGTCCCAGAGCCTCTATAGTTCGATTCAGCATCGCCAGGGGCGCTTCGACTACATCTACGTCTCATCTGCTTCTCCCGGGGGGCTGAGGCTGGTGTCTGCGGACCCCGTGGCGTTTTTCCCGGAGGCGGCCCGAGGCTCAGAGCGCCTCGGTCCCCGTCGATCAGCCGCGCGCTGCCAGAAGTGCTCCTGGCCCATGGTGCCCACAGAATTTCCAAGGAGGCCCCCGCAGCCTCCAGAGCACGCCTCAGGAGGCCCAGAGGGCCCCAGGGGCTCCGAAATGGAGCGAAAGGCTGGGGGGCACCTTGGGCCAGGGGCACCTGTAGCAACCTCCGATTGGTCCGTCGATCAGGGCGCTATCAGGTCGTTGATCTACCCAATCCTTCAGTTGATCAGATCGGGGCCGTTAATTGAGAGTCCGGACTTGTGCAGCGTTTCGCACATTAGCCAGACGGACGGCATTGTGGGGGCAATTAACGTGGGGGTGCCGAGAATTACATGAAAGTGGCCCTAAAGGGCCCCCGAGCAGCCCCTAAACGGCCACCGCGAGACCAAAAGGTGCGCAAAAGGTGGATATTTCTCCATCCCACGTTCATAGACCCCTGTCAACGAACACCCGTTGTATAGTAAATCAGGTGGGGGGGTCTCTTGAGGTCGGAGGGACAGAGGGCAAGCTGAAGTCGCTCGTGGAGCTGGGACTCGCCTCTGGTGGTATCGACAGCTTCGTGCTGCCGAATGCGTGGCACCCGTCCGATCACCTGCCGGTCGTGGCAGACTTCGTCATTTAACGGTGTTGTCGCCTCCTGACTCTTTGGTTCACCAGCCTCGCTTCAGTATTGCATCGATGGGTGAGACGGAGGGGGGGGGTTATGCAGGAGGAGGAGGAGGAAGAGTGGCAGGATGATCATGACGACGTGGCCAAGCAGGAGTAGCAGGACGGTGAGATTCAGCAGAATGGGGAGGAGGTGAAGGTCGAGAGGCAGTATTAGCGGAAGAGAGGACCAGGAGGAGGAGGAGGAGGAGGACGAGGACGAGGATGACGAGGAGGACGAGCAGGAGGAGACGAAAGCCGCGGCACAAAACAACATTCACCGCTTTTGGGGGCTCCGCTGCAACGTGGGGTGGGCGAAGTTGGGGCGATCGTTTTTTTTCTGTGCGGGCCATGGCGCGTACGGGAGGCGTCAGTACCACTTGTTGCCGTTGCGGTGTCGCAGACGAGGAGGAGACCAAGAAGAAGGAAGAGGAGGAGGAGGAGGAGGAGGAGGAGGAGGAGGAGGAGGGAGAAGAAGAAGAAAGAGAGGACGATAATAATCAGGAATGATTTCGGAATGATGAAGTGGAAAGGGAGGAGGAGGAGCAGCAGCAGCAGCAGCAGAGTGGGATGGAAGGGAGGAGGGAGAGGAACATGAGGAGGCAGGGAGAGTGAAGGAGGGGAGGAGGAGAAGTAGGAGGCCAGGAGGGAGTGGAGGGGAAGGGAGGAGCAGGAAGACAGTAATGAGGAAAATGAGGAGGGGAGGGAAGGGCAGGAGGAGAATGGAGGAGGGGAGAGAATGGCAGGACGAGAATGGAGAATGGAGGTCCCCAAATATAATCCTACTCTTTTCCATTGACTTCCTCCTCCTCCTCCTCCTCCTCCTCCACATCTACCCCTCCTGTCCTCCTCCTCCTCCTCCTCCTCCTCCTCCTTCTCCTCCTCCTCCTCCTCCCCCTCCTTGGTCCTCAATCGCTGGGAGGCCCAAATGCCCCGCGACGCCCGTGCTTCAGACCTATGGAGAGCATTTGCGGGTCTACCCCTCCGCCGTGCCATCGATGCAGATTGCCATAGCATTGCGATAGCCGTCCTTCTACCCGGCATGACCAGACAAGACCCGGCAGGGCGAAGTAGGCCCCCAAGATTGCGTAAGGTTCAAGATGGTTTGCAGAATGGCGTCAGGAGGCCACAGAAAGGCCCCAAGGTTGCTCTGATGTGGCCCCAGAGTCTCCAGGGGGGCCCCCGAAAGGCCAAGATCAGTGAACACATCATGCGCTAGAGTGCGCGTGGCCTCCTCGCCACTGCGGCTCCGATGGTCTTCAGCGGCATGCGTATGGCCCGGAGAGGGCCCGACAGGGCTTCAGAAGGGTGAACCAGAAGAGCTCCCCAAACAGAACAGGAGGACGTCGTAAGAGCACCCCCCAAAGAGTCTCAAGAAGGGCTCCAAGTGGCTTCCTGAAACCCTCCATCGGAGGCCCGCACCACCAGGGATTTCATATTATGTGCTCCGAGAAGAATTCAAAAGGGCCATGATGGGTGCCACCAGAGAGCCTCGAATGGGTCCCAACAGCGACCCTCCACCCTTCCAGTTCGAAGCTCCGCTCAATAACAGTTGTCATCCATTGCTCGTCCTTGTTTTCGCGCTTGGCCAGGGATGGTCACCGCGCCAGACTGCCAAACGCACTCGCCCCGAGGGGAAAAATGTTTACGTCATAGAAGAGACGAGTCCCTAGACCGATTACGTACACTCGCATGCTTGGCGGGATTCCCCCAGGTTAGTTCCCTACGGAGGTGTGCGTCGTCCTCCTCCTCCTCCTTCTCCTCCTGTTCCTCCTCCTCGCCCCATCGTCATCCTCGCCATCCTCCACCCTTCTCCCTTCTTCCTGAGTCGACAGGCCTGCCGATCCCCCGAACATACGTGGTGTGTTCGCGGTGGTGGTTTTGATTCCTGATGGGTGTGCGGAAGAGGAGATGGAGGAGGAGGAGGAGGAGGAGGAGGAGGAGGAGGAGCAGGAGAAGGAGGAGCAGCAGCAGCATATGGGAGAGCAGGGCCAGGATTTGTCATGGTGTGGGCAATTTATTGGGAGCTCTGAGAGCGTCTGAGGGGCCTCTTGGAGACCTCTCGGAGCGTCTCAGAGGTCTCTTGAGGCCCTCTCGGGCCTGGGGGGGCCAGGTAGGCTGTTTCAGAACCAGAGGGTGCGTCGGGGAGTTCAACCCCCACCCCACCCACCATTTTCCCCTCCCGGGGTTCTGGACATCCGAAAAATCGCAACCGGGGTGGGATAGCCAAACATATCACACGCTTGCTCAACCCAGGCTCCTTGTTCTTCTCATCCTCCATCTTCCTCATCCTTCCTCCCCATCCGTCCCCTTCCTCCTCCTCCTCCTCCTCCTCCTCCTCCTCCTCCTCCTCGTTCTCCTCCTCCTCCTCCTCCTCCTCCACCTCCACCTGCTCCTCCTCCTCATCTTCCCTCCTCCTCATCTTCTCTCTCCCATCATCTTCCCTCCGCGTCGTCCTCCTCGTCTCAGTCCAGCCAGTTCCTGGCATTGAACCCCCCTTACGCTGTACAGTGTACAGCTCGCTGGCGGCGCCTTGCAATCACGGCTCATACGTGACAGTTGCGCGCACACCGTCAAAAGACGTCGCGATCTGCACGGGACGAGAAGGGGAAGGGAGTAGGAGAGGGAAAGGGAGAAGAAGGAGAAGAAGGAGGGATGATGAGGAGGAGGAGGAGGAGGAGAAGTTTCTCCAAGGTTGTCAGTACTATTCATTTGTTGCTCAGGTGTCCGAAGATTATCCGAGGTCTGGAAGCGTTTCGGAGATTTCCAGAGGTTCTCAGGGGAAGACGCGGGGAAACATGATGAGAAGGAGGAAGGGAGGAAGGATGGGGAGGAGGACAAGGACGACCTGACCGTCAGAAGACGCAGAATCGTCATGAACCCTCTTCATCATCCCCATCCTTTCCTCCTCACCCTTCTCCTCATGATTCCCCCTCATCTTTCCTCCTAAGTGCGTCCTCATCATGTCCTTCATCCTGCTCCCCTTCTCTTCTCCATTATGCTTCCTTACCTCTCTGGTCCCCCTCTTTTTGCTTATTGTTCCTCTTTTCCTTCCGCTGTCCCCCTGCACGAACTTCCCAGCGCCCTGCCACGCGAGGCTGTCAAAAAATCAGGAAGACTGTGCAGACAGCACAAGCCTGGCGGCGTGATCAGCCCTTCTCTCCTACCTCCTACCCCCCACCTTTTGCCTTCCCTCCTCCATCGGCTCTCTCCTTAAGCGACTTCTGCCCGTGGCTCCTCGTCCTTCTCTCCCAACTCTCCTTCCTTAACCGAGAACCTCGGAGAATAACCCCCTTGGGATAGTAAAGTTCGGGGTTTTCGGGGAGGTAATAAAAGTTGCCCGCCAGGGCCAGCATAAAGAGATATCAAGAGGGAAAAGCCAAAGATATCTTGAGGATCCTTGGTCTTTGGTCCTCTATGATACATCCTCAACAATGGTTTGCCTCGGCTGAGACATCCTCAACGAATTGCTTGTTTCGTTTGAGACAGCCTAGAAATATTTGTCTGTTTCGCTTGAGACATCTTCAAATTATTGCTTATTTCGCTTGAGGCATCCTTGAAAGCATTGCTTGTTTCGCTTGAGGCATCATCGACAAATCTCGGAGTTTCTATAGAGATTCCTCATGTGCCTCGTTTTCCCAGGATAATCAACCACAGCGATAAACAAGTTCAGGGGGGCAGGGGGAGGAGAAGACAGATAGAGAGATAAATAGACAGATAGAAAGAGAAGAGGAGGTAGAGGAGGAAGAGGAGGAGGAGGAGGAGGAGAAAGAGCAAGAGGAAGAGAGGAGAAGGAGATAGCAAAAATCCAAAGTTTAAAACGTATTATATTTAATATGTAAGCTCTTAATGAAAATTAAGAGTTTCATCTGCTCGTGTAGGATAGCTCACACGCCTCGTTTTTCCCAGGATAATCAGCCCCGGCGATAAACAAGTTCAGGGCGCCAGAGGGAGGAGGAGGAGGAGAAAGAGATAGAGAGACAGAGAGAGACACAGAGAAAGAAAGAAAGAAAGACAGAAATAACTACAAAGAGACAGAAGGACATTGGTTTCGCTTAAGACATCCTGAAAAAAAACGTGTTCGCTTCGCTTGATGTTGTTATCTCAACATAAGAAGGAAGTAACCGCGATGGCGAACTTTCCCCGTGACCATGAAGTTCGGCCTCCGCGCCCTCCGCCTCTATTTGAAAGCCGTCTAGGCCGACGATAAAAAAAACTCAAACGACTTAAGGGGGGGTACTTTATTATCCTGGGTAATCGGTTATCCTCCTCCTCCTCCTCCTCCTCCTCCTTCTCATCCTCCGCCTCCTCTGTATCCCTCCTCCTGCCCGGGCCGCAGGTCAGATGGTCGACGCGCTAGGAGGCGGAGAGTCCATGCGGGCAATCTTGGTCGCATTGGCAAGAGGTGGTCGTCGCCACCGTCGTCGTCGGAGAAGGAGGAGATAGGAAGAGAGCGATCGAGTAGGAGGAGGAGGCGGAGGAAGTAGGAGGAGGGTTGAAGAAGGATTTGTTCGAGGGGGTAGCAAGGGGAGGCAGGAGAAGGATAACAACATAGAAAGAGGAAGACGAGCAGACAGGGGGAGCAGGATGAGGAGGAAGAGGGGATGACGATGGCGAAGGAGGAGAGAGGAACGTTCCCAGGGGAACGTAGGTTGAATTACCCAAGCTCTGGTTCAAGCTGTAAAGCGCTTGTTCCCAGTCTCAGCCGGTGGCCACACTGCAAGGACATTTACAGTGAGCTCGAGACGGTCCCCAGGGCCCCATGTCAAGTCGAGAAAGCAGACGGGCCAGGATAGGCACCATCTGCCTTGGATTGGCTCCTGGCGGAGCCAGAGGCTTCCGTTCCCTGTGGAAAGGTTAACGTGCCACCTTCTCTTCTCGCCCGCCTTTCCCCCCCTCTGCCTGCCCAGCACTACCGCTTCCCCGCGGCCCGCGGCCCGGTAGCTTTCGAACGGTGTTGTTCATATTTGGTGTTCTGTTTGCGGCAGACACTGGTCTGGACCGCTCACACACACACACACACACACTCGCGCGCGGGGTCTGAAGAACCCTTGCACGACAGTTCATCAACAGTGGCTCGGACTTTGAAGAGATGGAAGTTCCCATTCCCGAGAGTGCCCGCTGGTTTCTTCTCCCCGAGCTGGCCAATCCGAACCCCAACGACGGATTGAGGGCTTTTTCATCCATGTCCAAGCTGCTCTTATATGTGCATCGCATTAATTGCCCAACCTCCGACTGCAACGGGGTTCAGCGGCCTGCAGTTGAACCTCGTCTGGTGCGTGGCTCAGGGATGCCCGAATCAGAGGGAGGAAGAAGGTGGACGACGAGTGAGTGCAGGAGGGCGAGGTGGATGACATGGAGCGAGGCACCAGCACGGAAACGAAGTGCAGCATACCCTCGCGTTGCACCCGCACGGTCGTGCTTCTCGCTGATCTCGCCAGATCCGTGGGCATTCCCTGCAGCCCTCTCCTCGTCCTCTTCCCTCCCTTGTTACGGCACTTCGCATTCTAGCACGCCCCAACGTGCAGGGGTGCACAGTGGCGGACAAACACTCGCAGCAACGTTGGAAAGTCCCTTGCCAGAGCCAGATTTTGGAAGCCACCCGCTTCCCGCGTTTTGTACGCTTGGCATGTCGGAAGTCTCGTAACCAGAGAACGCGAATATGTCTCAGACAACGCCCAGTCCGCTCAGTGGGCACGTCCAGCAGTGCGGCGAGGAGAAGGATGGATGAAGGAGTGTGAGGAGGGAGGGAGAAAGGACCGTCCAGAGGGATGGAAGAGACCGTCCGGCGGGACGTCGACACGGTCAGAGTCGTGCCGGCTGCGCCGTGGAGGACATTTCGGCCGTATCGCCCCAGCGGTTCTATGTTTGTGATTGTGCCTCCAGCCAGAGTGCGTCTGGGGCAGAAAGAAAGCCCGCGGAGCTACCCAAGTGGGGAACCCGCAGCCCGAGCACCGCGACCAGAGTGTCACCGCCACGGCGTCGGCCGTCGCCAAGCACCGCGTCGGTGTGGGCACTTCCAGGGTGCCACTGCCAAGTCGATGCGGGAACCTGCCCGCGGGGTGTCTTCTCGAGGAGGTGTTGCGCCCGCCATGTGGCCCCCGCCCGCTGGGCGCGGCCCCCCACGGCGTCTTCGCCCAGGGGGGTGTTCTGCCAAAGGTGGCCCTGGCCACCCCCGTTGTCGCCCGCGGTGGTCCAGAGGCGGCTTTGCACTGCGCGCAAGATGAAAGGAGCAAGAGGAGAGGCGGGAAGCGGGGGAGGGAGGAGGAGGAGGAGGAGGAGGAGGAGGAGGAGCAGCAGCAGCAGCAGGAGGAGGAGGAGTTGGAAAAGGAATGCGAGGAGCAAGAGGAGGGAGGAGCAGGAGCAGGAAGAGGGGAGGCGGCGGAGGAGGTGGAGGTGTCGCCACCGTCGTCACCGCGCACTCCGTCCCCCCCCTCTCCGTCGTCTCGCTTCGGCAGTTGGCGGTGGGCTGTCGCGGGCAGCCCCGAGAACCGAACCGACGCGCGCGCGCACGCGCCTTCGCGCGTCGGCCCGCGTGCGATGGGAGCGAAAAGCGCCAGCACGACGCTGACGCCGTGGCGAGGCGAGAATCGATCAAGGCGCGACCGGAGCCGGTCGGCGGCAGCCCAGCGCGTGTGCCTCCCTGCTGCTGGTCCATCTTGCTCCTCCTCCTCCTCCTCCTCCTCCTCCTCCTCCTCCTCCACGGCGGACTCCACGGCCACCGCTCCGAGTGGTGGAGCCTCTTTTTGCCTTCAGCGGAGAAGCTGGCAATGCGCATCATCATTGCAGCGGATCCATGAGTTAAGCACAGCAGCTTTGAGCGGGTCAGCGGCGAGGAAAAAATGGCTGAAACAGGAGCCTTCGGAGGTGCGCGCGGATCTCATGGATCTTCGCTGGCCTCCACCCCTGGCGTACGGGGAAGGGGGCCCAGCGCCGGTCTGAGAAATCCGCGCGGACCTTCGAAAGTGGACGTCTTTGCAGTTAGGGCTGCCTCAGGCGACGAGGCCAAGACCGAGAAAGCGCGGTTCAGAGCTGCGGCGACGAGCGAGGGGGAAGTCTGAGAAGGACGAGGTCTTCTCAGAAGGCTCGGAAGTCCCCTGGCCTTCTCAGAAGTTTCCTCAGCCCTCCCCGGAGGCACCGAGAGCTTCTCAGCAGGCGCGAGGGCTTCTGAAAAGCCCCGCCGCCTTCTGAGCGAAGCCCGTCTCCTCCCCGCTTCCCCCCCACCCTCGCCCGCCGCCGATTCTGGCTGCCTCGGGCGACGAGGCCAAAGCCGAGCAAGCGCGACTCGGAGCTGGTCGGCGGTAGGGCGGCGGGGAGGAGGAGGAGGAGGAAGAGGAGGAGGAGGAGGAGGAGGCCAAAGCGCGAAAGCCGAGAAAATAATGGGTGGCTCGTCGCGCGAAAGCCGAGAAAGCGCGATTCCTGAGCTGGTCGGCGGCGGGCGGAGGGCCGGGGGGTGCCGCGGCGAAACAAAGATTGACCCGAATGGTGACATGTTCCTCTCGATAGTCTCGTTTTCTCGTGAACGGGCACCGAAAATGATCGGTCGCCCGAATGCGTCCTGACATTCGGAAAGTCTCTCTGGCGGGCGGGCCCCCAGAGGTCTCGCTGGTCTCCGTGGCCAACTGCCTCGGCCGCGTGCTCTTCGGGGTGGCCCCTGACGCGCTGGCCGTCGGAGCGCCTAGGCGTCGCGCGGCAGCAGCAGGAGGAGGGTCGGCGACGACGACGACGACGACGACGACGACGACGACGACGACGACGACGAAGTCGGCGGCGGCGAGCGAAGAGGGGGAAGTGAGGAGGAAAGGGCCTTCTCAGAAGGCGGCGGGGCTTATCAGAAGCCCTCGGGCCTTCTGAGAAGTTTTCTGCGTCCTCGGGGAAGGCTCAGGCAACTTCTCAGAAAGCTGGGGGACTTCTGAGCCTTCTGAGAAGGCCCGCCCCTTCTCACTCCCTCCCGGGCTGGCCGCCTAGAGGGGGAGGGGGAGGAGGACCCTCAGACCTCGGCGTCGCAATCTGTTCACAACCAGCGATTCTGCCGCGCTTCGGGCCCCGGGACCAGCACGGATCGGCGGATCGGTCCAGGCCGAGAGGTGGCGCAGAAAGATGGGGTTTGGGGCTCCAGTCGTGATTTCTAACGATGTTCCAATTGATTCGCGACGTCGAATCTCAGGGAAGGATGGAGGAGGGAGCGGGGAGAGGCTAGGAGGGGGAGGGGCGGATGAGGAAGAGAGAGGGCGAGGAGGAGGCGGAGGAGGATCTTGGATCTCAGATCTCAAGTGGTGTCGAGGCCCTCGCGTGGGGGCCACCTCCTCAGAAGAAAAACGACTAGAGGCGTAGGAGAGCGAGGAGGAGGGGCGAGCAGGAGAAGGAGGAGCAGGATAAGGAGGAGGCTGGTCCCGGGGCGGCTGGTGGAGGTGCCTGCAGCTAGAGGGGTCGAAGGTATTCTTCGCTGGAGCCGGCGCAGGAGGATGAGGAGGAGGAGGAGGAGGAGCAGCAAAAGCAGCAGGTGCAGGGGAAGGAGAAGGCGAGTATCCGTGGTGGAGATTGACGGGACCAAGGACGAAGAGGGGGACGACAAGGAGGGTCATGACGAAGATGAGGAGGCGAAACAGCAACAGCATGAGGTCCTCAAAGGGTTTGGGGGAGGGCGTCAAGGAAGAGGAGGAGGAGGAGGAGGAGGAGGAGGAGGAGGAGGAGAATAAGTCAGCTCAGGAGGTGGATGAGGAGGATGAGCAGAAGGATAATGAGATGGAGCAGGATGGAGCGCAGGCGGAAGAGCGGGAGGAACAGGAGCAGAAGAAAGAGAAGCAGTAGGCGGAGGAACAGGAGCAGGAGGAGGAAGAGGAGGAGGAGGAGGAGGAGGAAGAGGAGGAGGAGGAGGGCGCTCCGGCCCACGTGCGTGGGACAGGGCCATGCACCCAGCGGTCAGCCTCGCCGTCGACATCATCATCCTCATCTATTTCAACTCCTCCGTGGTTCCCTTCTCATCCGCATCATTGCTCGACTACTGCATGTATTCAGACGACGCCTTACGTCCTGACTCTCCCCTTCCGGCTGCCCTCCCTCTACACTCCAGCGCATCTCTATTGCCTGGCATCAGCATGAAACCGTTCGCATCGAGCGGCAATGAGAGCGCTGTCTCTTGTTGCGGACTCTGGGGGGCACTGGGCCGCCAGGCGAGTGTTCTGGGACCCCGCCCTTCTTTGGCGCAAGCGCCTCCACATGTTCAGAGGGCACAGGATCGTCACCATGGCTGTGCACAGTTGCGAGTGGCGTCTGGCAGAACGAAGCCGCTGTGGAATGGAGGCCAGGCCTGCCTCCAGGGCCCGAAACTTCTTCATACCAGCAGCCTTCTGTAGCACAAGAGAGCCCGGAACGCCAGGCCACGGGCCCCTTCTGGAGAATTCGCACCAGTCAAGGCTAAACCCGAAGGGACCGGAGGACATTCCACACAGTGCCTAGGGCATTGAGTGGAGGATCCCGCCCAAATTCAGACAGGCCATTGTCCCAGCTTCGCATGGCATCCAAAAGGATTCCAGCAAGGTCGCGGACTCAAAAGTTCCTGCCGCCTTGGCTGCGCCGCGACCTTTGCGGGCAGCGGGTTTGGCCTTTCCTCCTCCCATCTCCGCTCTTTTTCCGCACGCCGTATTCAGCAGAACATCCCAAAGGCCCTCTTCCCCCCTCCTCATCCTCGATCCTCCGACCTTGTCCTCCACGTCCTCAATCTTCGACCCTCGATCATCGAACATAATCCTCATCGATTTGCGAAAGTCAAAATCTGGGCTGGGCCCTGGGCGTTGTCTTGGAGCCTTGTTTCTTTTGTAGGATGTTCGTAAATCTGGACCTAGACAGCTGTTCAAGAAAAGGTGTAGCCGTTAGAGTATGAAGAAGACACGGATGACGCGGGCGAACCCCCCCGGGGGACGGAGTAACTTGGTCCCCAGCCACCCCTGGAGGGAGGGAAAGCACGACGAAATGGCGACGATGGAGGGCTGCGGAGGAAGGGACGATGACCTTCTCCCCAGTCGCATCTCAAATGTTGGCATCGCGTCGTTGGGGTCTTGATGTTCTATATACAATGGTTCACGCTTCGCGTATCCCATGCTTCGTCCCTATGCACAAGTTTTATGGCCAGTATGGTCTCCTGGCAGCTGATGCAGTGTACTATTGGTTGTCTTCCTGGCCACATCCTGGAACCACCCCCGTGCCAGTTTGGCTGCGCTCCAACCCTGGTTGGTTAATCGTGCATGTGCGCGCTCCTGGACCTGGTTCCTGGCAGCTGCAGCCCGCACCCCCCCTCACGCCGGCCCGCCCGCCTAGGTGCTGCTTGGGTCGCCGGCCCGTCGGTGTTATGCAATTCGGCTCTTGCGCGGCCCGCTCGGACCTTACTCGCCGCTGGCGCTCTTGCTTGCGGTTGCGACAGAAGTATCCCATGTTTCGCTGGGCTGCTCGCCCCACGCTATACCATGCTTCGCCCGGGTGGTCTGTTTACATTTGGCGCCGTGCGCGACAAGGTACAAATCGTTCACCTTCCTGGCGGTCTTACCCTTGGAATGGTTGCCCTTGAGCCGCCTGGCTCTCCTGGCACCACTTGCAGTGCTGTCTTCAGTACCCAGCGTCGCTCCCCGGCGCCCCTCGGCGGCAGCTTCGGCGGCCGTTAGCTCGCGCGCGTAGGTAATTAGGTTTGGCTCGTAGCCCGGGCGAACTTCTGACGCCGCCTGCGTTTCCGCTTGCGGCCGCAACGGAAAACAAATATCCCCACCAGCACATTCAGAAGCCTTGCCCACGAGAGCTGACCTGAAAAGGGACGAAGGGACACATCCAGGGAAACAAAGCGAGCCACCATAATAAGCCAAGAGATCTTTGGGAGCAAAGGGGGGGCCTTGGAAGGCCTCTTCGGGCCATCCGTGGGGGGCCGCGTGGGAGCGAGCGGAAGAGGAGGAGGAGGAGGAAGAGGAGGAAGAGGAGGAAGAGGAGGAAGAGGAGGAAGAGGAGGAAGAGGAGGAAGAGGAGGAAGAGGAGTAGGAGTAGGAGTAGGAGTAGGAGTAGGAGTAGGAGTAGGAGTAGGAGTAGGAGTAGATGTAGGAACCGATGGGAGTAGGAGGAGGGGGCCTCTTGGGGGCCTCTTGGGGCACTCTTGGGGCCTCCTGGGAGTTTCCTGGGGGGCCTTTTGGGGGGGGGGGCCTTTGGGGCCTTCTTGGAGACCTCTTTGGCTGTCTTGGGGCGCTCCTGGCTTGTCTAGCGCCGTCGGAAGCGTCTTGGGGGCCGGTCTCGGTCGTCTTGGGGGCCTTTTTGGGACACGTCAGGGGTTCTTAGAGGCCATCTTGGGCGTGTTGGAGGCCTCTTGGGCCTTTGGGGGGCCCTCTTAGGGCCGTCTTGGGCGCTTTTTGGGCAGTCATGGGGCCATCTTGGAGGCCTCTTGGGCGATCTTGGGGGCTTTTTGCGCCGTCTTGAGCCGTCGGAATGCCGAGAATACGCATATGCCAGAATCTTTCAAACAAACCTCAGGGAAATCAGTGTTTGGGGCCTCGTCGTGTCCTCCTGGAAGACCTCCTGGACGCCTTTTGGGCCGTCTTGGAGGCCTCTTGGGGGTCTCTTGGGCCGTCTTGCGCCATCTTGAGGCCATGTTAGGCCGTCTTGGGTGCATCTTGGGCAGCCTTGGAGGCATCTTGGGGCCGTCTTAGCCGTCTTGGAGGCCATTCTGGCCGTCTTGGAGGCCTCTTGGGCCCTCTTGGGCCCTCTTGGGGGCCTCTTGGGCTGTCGTGGGGCCATCTTGGAGGCCTTGTGAGCGATCTCGGGGGCCTCTTCTTGAGCCGTCGGAATGCCGAGAAGACGCAAATGCCAGAATATGTCAAAAACCGAAAGGGAATCAATGATTTGGGCCTCTTCGGGCCCTCCTGGAGGACCTCTTGTAGACCTCTTGGGCCGCCTTGGAGGCCTCTTGGGGGCTTCTTGGGCCGTCTTAGGCCATCTGGAGGCCGTCTCAGGCCGTCTTGGGTGCATCTTGGGCCGCCTTGGAGGTATCTTGGGGCCGTCTTAGCCGTATTGGAGGCCATATTGGGCGTCTTGGAGGCCTCTGGGGCCGTCTTTGGGGCCCTCTTGGGGCCTCTTGGGGCTCTCGTGGGGCCCTCTTGGAAGCCCTGGAAGGCCTCTTGGGGCCATCTTGAAGGCCATCGATCAAAGGAGGAGATGGTATAACGGTTAGCCCAGGCCAAAATGGTGCCAAAACCTTAGTAAAACCAATGATGTGGGCGCCCAGAGGGCTGGTGGGATAACGTTCAGCCTCACCCCAAAGAGGCCAACATGGGGCCAAAAACTTAGTAAAATTAATTATTTGAGCGCCCAGAGGGCTGGTCGCCCAACGTTCGGCCCTCCCCCAAAGAGGCTAATATGGGGCCAAAGCCTTAGTATAACTAATGATGCTGGCTTCCGCGCCGAGGCCGTTTTGGACGCCCTGGCACCTCGCGGGGTGGCCCGAAAAAGTACAGGGGAGGGGTAAGGGGAGGGGTAAACCCCTCCCCGTAGGGGAAGAGGGGCTTCTTGAAAGGGGGAAGAGGAATCTCGTTAGAGCACCTGTCGCCCAAAGGGCTGGTGGGATTGAATCTAAGAATGTCCTCGGCCCTCGATCCTCCTTTCTCCTCCTCGGCTCTCGGCCCCAACCGCCTCAGGGCGCTGTTCCTGGCGGCCAACCTCGTCCTGATGGGCTGCGCGCAGCTCCTGCTGTCCCTCGGCTCGCTGCCTTCGCTCGTGGCGGGCGCGCCGCGCGCGCCGGGCGGCTCTCTCTCTCTCTCTCTCTCTCTCTCTCTTTCTCTCTCTCTCTCTCTCTCTCGGGTGTTGCTGGAAGTGCCCCTGGCCCAAGGTGCCCCCAGGATTTCCAAGGAGGCCCCCACGGCCTCCAGGGCACCCCTCACGACTCCCAGACAGAGGGCGCCAGGGGCTCCAAAATTGAGCGAAAAGCTGGGGGCACCTTGGGCCAGGGGCACCTTTAGCAACCCCCGACTCTCTCGCCTCACGTCTGCGGGCGGCTCTCGTGGCGGCGCTTCACGTCTGCATCGCCGCCAGGCTCGAGACGGGCCGACTCTGCCCCACGCGTGCTCGCAGGCAGTCGTCGGGGCGCCCATGCCTCCAGGGAGCTCGTGCGACTGGTGTCGGAAAACGACACTGACAACACTTGCAGCGCGGAGCGAATCTCTCTCTCGCGCGCGAGCCGAGCCCCGGAAGAAGGCGCATCGTGGGCGGCCAAGGGGGGGAGGGCGAGGCAGAGGGCGGCTTTCAAGCTTGAGGATGCTCTCCAGCAGCTGCGCCTGGCCGAGGGCGTTCTGGGAATGCCTGGATCGTCCCGAACGGCCGCTGGAGGCTCGAGGTATGGCCCGAAAATCAGTCATGGCACTTTCACATAGGAGGAAGAGGTAACAATAATGCTACCCTTCCCTCGGTTTCGCCTTTTGGGGCCCTCCTGGGAGGCCCTCGTCGCCACGAGTGGATTCGCTTCAACATCCTGGTCAGACCGCACCTTGGGAGAGGTCTGGCGAGTAGCGGTATCGGGTCTTTGTTTGTCCCCCAATTGGGGAGGGGATTTCATGGGTGGGACCATAACACATCCCCAGATGTCATGGTCCTCTTCTTCTTGTTTTAATGCGCGCCTTGGTCCCCCCCTCGTCCGCGAACATGCCTCGGGCCACGATTTGCGACCCCCCCTCTTGGACGCCCAGACGGAGGCGGTGGAAGGCGGAGGTTTCCAGGAGTGTCCAGTGGCCCAAAGGAGCCAAGACGCCCCCCCCACAAAGATGTTCTCGACGACTGGGGATCGAGGCGAAGGTCGAGCAGGAGGAGGAGGAGGAGGAGGAGGAGGACGACGACGACGAGGAGTAAGAAGAGGAGGAGGAGGAAGAGGAGGAGGAGGAGGAGGAGGGGGGAGAAGGAGGGGGAGGAGGAGGGCGAGTGGACGGCGGGGAGGAGGAGGAGCATAGGATGAGGAGGGAAGGGACCAGTGTCCTGAAGGCTGCCCCAGTCGCAGTGCCGTGCCTTGGCCTGCTCGGCCGCTCCCCCCTCCTGCCCTCGCCCCTTCAGGGCAGTGCAGCGCGCCCTCGCGGCCGACATCCCGCTCGGACGCGCGCTGCCAAAGACCCTGTCGGGCCCCGGCCGAATGCGACAGGCCCCTTGGGCCGCGCTTGCGCCTGCGCGCTGGGCGCCTGCAGTGGGGGCGCGCACCAAGAAGCCATGTGCTTCTCGTCAGGGTGCCCTGGGTTTCTTCGGTCCTCGCGCTGCGCAGTGGCTTCCCGCGGCCGCTGAGGAAGCTGCTGCGGTCAGGGTGCCCTGGGCTTCCCCCCAATCGCACCTCTCGCGCGGGTCCTCAGGGCTGGGTTTCTTGCGAGAGTTTCTTGCGGCCGCGTCCGCACTGAAGTTGCTTCGCGTGCGGGCTGGCATCGCACCACACGTGGTGCAGACATCTAGTGGCCTGCAGTCAGTTCGTGTCATGCCGACGCGGCGGCGACCCCAGCGCTGGTGTTCGAGGTTGAACGCCCCCCGTGGCCTGGAGTCGGCCGAGTTTGAACGATCTGTGCCTGAGCGTGGCAGCCGCACTCGACGCCCGACCATAGACTGTCGGCACCCATGGCGTCCAGATTAGTTCTAGCCACTCTCCGCCGAATCAGAAAATCAATCGCATCGGCCATGTCCACACAAGGTTTTGCAGCGGCGCGCTCCAAGACTTCCTCCACAGACTCTCCTGCAAATGTTAGCACAGCGGTTGCCTGCAATCGGGTGCAGCTGCTCTAATGATCCCTTACCCGTGCATTCAGTTTTCACGTGGTTTGGCGCGGAACGATCTGCACCGCAGCGCTGCATCCTGCAGGGAGCGCATTGTGTGTGTTGTAGCATACAATGATTTTTTCGGGCCCTCGCCCTTCTCACCTTCCCCTTCCCCCGAACTCGAATCGGTCGGCTGGGGGGGGGGGCCAGGGCGGCGTCAGAGAGCATGTGGGGCCGTCCGAAATAGCACAGCGTGCGATGTGTGTTCTCCGCTCAAGTTCTTTGGGCTCAAGCGTTGATGAAGATCACGCCTGAGTGGAGGCCCATCGATTTGCCAACCTCTCCCCGCGCGGGCAGCGCGATATCCTCTGTTGGCTCATCGTGGGAGCTGGTGGGTACCGAGAGCGAGGAGTGCTCTTCTTGTCCTGCGGGGCAGGCTCCGAGCCCGCTGGAGGGTGAGGAGGAGATCCTCGCGACGGCGCGCTGGGGCGGCCCCCTCCTCGTGTTTTTGCTGACTCTGCTGACGGTTGTGCGTGACCCGCCCAGCGAGGACTCGGAGTTCGGTGACGAGGAGGACTATTCGCCTGAGGCTGTGATGCCTGTGCAGACATGGAGTCGGCGCTACTTGCGTCGAAGTGCTACCGATGGTGTGGAGGTGTTTCCCGTGCGGAAGAAGTCGGGGAATTGCTGGGTGCTGCTCTTGCCCGGTCTCAGCATGGAGACGATCACGATCACGGCCAAGTCTACAGTGTTCAACGACCCGCTGTGAGGAGTGCGCTGGCAGCCAATGCCTGCCCTGTCTCAGGTACAGCGGGACAGCTTCATGAAGCAATCCACCGACGGTTTGAAGGCGGGGACCACTCCCTCCCTGGAGCTCTACAGGCCGGGCCGTCAGGCTCAGCGGGCGGTGGCTATCAACCTGGCCTACGCTGTGCTAGGGTCGGCTCGATTTTCGTTCCGTGCGTTGCGGTGGGCGTTGCGGTCACCGTGGCGTGTGCCGGGCTTGCTGGTTTTGTGCTTCGTGCTGTGGGAGGCCCTGAAGTACCTTGGGGTGATCGAGCTGATTGGGGAGACGTTCCTCGCCGTCTGGTGCTGGACGGCTGCGTGCAAGGACGCGTTCGTGGAGTCTTCGGCGACCGCGCAGGAGTGGGTGGTCTACTTGGGCAAGTGGATGGAGTGGGCGCGCAAGCTGATGCCAGTGCGTCGGTGGGCCGCTCTCGTCCTCGCGCTGGGACTGCTGGTGGCAGTCAGGTCTATCGTCGGTTGCCTCGTCTTCTGCCTCTCCGGTCGTCGGAGATCCTCCGCCCGCTCTTACCGCGCCACCACCTTGTGCTCCACAGGCCCACCCGCTTGGCCTGGATCCTCAGCTGCTGGCTGCTCAACTCAGCGACTTGGCGGCTTCGCAGCAGGCCATGATGGAGGAGATCAGCGAGATGCGCACGGCCGAGCGCACCCGAGAGTTGCGTCGAGGCGTGCTCGATTCGTCGGCTCAGTCCAGTGGGCACTCAGCGGCGGAGGCCAACAAGCAGGTGATCGAGGGCATGAAGGCTCGCCTGGATCAGTTCGAGGCTCGGCTTCGTGGAGAGGCTCAGCCCGAGGCGAGCATCGGAGAGCAGGTGGGGGGCCATCGAGGCGGTGGCCCCGTCCTCGTCCGCTGCGGCTACGGCGGGTTCACCCACGAAGACTACGTCACCGTTGATGCTGGGGGCGCCGGAGAAGCGGACGGCGACGGGCTTGCCGGAGGCCGTGGAGCTGGCCGCCAAGAGGGCGAAGTTCAAGGCTCAGATGCCGCAGCAGGTTTTCTTGGAGCAGCTGGAGGAGTGCAAGGAGATCCTGGTGGAGGAGTGGACCAGCTGCATGCCCGAAGGCTATCGGCGGAGGATCTCGGCCGAGGCGCTGCCCGAGATCCACGCTTCGGGGAGGACGGCGGAGGCCTGGGCGCGAGACTTCAGCCGAGATCGAGGGCTGTCCGGCTGCCACGCGGCCCGGGAGATGATCGCAGCCGTCGCGGCCGTGGACACGATGCTCACGACGGATCGCCAGAAAGGGGCCCCTCAATTCGGCGAGTTCCGAGCGGTTGGTGCACAGGGGCTGTGCCATTGTAAGGGCCCATCGCAACGTGAAGTGCCGGGGCGACTGGAGACGCCCGAAGGGCGCCAAGGGCTGGAAGTCCAAGGTCGACTGGGGGGCGGCTTGCAGGTTGGATCCCCAGCTGGCGGACGAGAGCACGATTCGAGTGATGAGCGCCGAGGAGGAGATGAGGAAAGCCATGGGTCGGGACGCGCAGCTGATCAAGGCGCGCAGCGACCTGGGCGGAGGAGCGGCAGCAGCGCCGTGACGCCTAAGGAACCTCGAATTGGGCTGCTCGGCGCGTCGTTGGGCGGCTCGTGCATCGGGGGCGGGCGTGTTCTTCCGCCTCTGTATATTTTGCTATCGCGTTGTTGTTGTTGTTGTTGTTGTTCTTGTTGTTTTTTTCTGCTGCTGACGTGCATGATCCTCGTCGGTGGCCACGTGAGCTCGCGCGCGCCGAATTGGGTTTCCGTGGTCTCGGCGGCGGGGCGTCCTGTCCGAGGTGGTGCTGTTCCAGCGTCCGGAGCGCCCCAGTTCTATTTCTCGTCGTTTGCTGACGCGCGGGCGAGAGGAGGTGGAGATGCTCGGGCGAACGAACCGTTGTCTCTTGGCGCTGCGACAACTCTACTGCGGGAGTTTGGACGACAGCCTGCTGGAGCTGGCCGAGTGCTGGGGGCAGGGGCCCATGCCCGACAACCTGGACGGGGGCCTTTCGCGGCGGGCGCTGAAGGAGGTTCGTTGCCTACGACCGCCGCTGACGACGCCCTGCCAAGGGGCCGCGATCCTGCGGCTGCGCCCTGCCGCTGCCGCGGCGGGCAACCAGTCCCAGTCGACCTTCAAGCAGAGGTTGGCCGAACTTTGGAGGAGGAGTGCTGGTGGAGGTGCGCGGCTTCCAGACGGGGGCGATGCGTTTCCCGCCCAGTGGGAGCGAGT